AAATGTGTGATGTTAACAGTTTGAAGATTTCGCCGGTGTGGTTACAAACATAATTGAATAATTTGTCGTGTCATAGCTGTCTATTGTATTTCCTGTGTCTGTTGTAACTGTTGCCTGGTTTATTTTTATTGAAGTATACTGATATAAAGAAAAACAAATCAGAAAACTACAAATGGCCTTGTCTCAGTGATTTTTTAAATATAAATTATTGTCGTGTTATTTGTTCGTTTTTGTTTTTGAGTTTTTATTGTTGCAAAGTAGTGGATTTTTTTGTTTGTATTCTTGCAGGGGTGGGGGTTATATTTGATTGATCGTACCTTGGTACATGGAAACTTTCTTGTCCACATGACATCTTCAAATTCTTGATGCACACTGCTTTGGGCTAGTGGTTGAAGGGTTGCACTGGTACTTTTTACTAGTTGGTCCTACTTCTTTTCTTTTACTCATGTTTGGTTTTTCTAAGGTAGGGAAGAAAACTGTCACCCTGGCAGAGCCGTATACCCTAAATCCTGGAATTTGATGTGGACATATGGCTGGTGAGATGGGTAGCAGCAGCCCTAATGAAGAGAAAAATGGCCCTGAGACAGGGTGAATGGACTTCAGATCTGGTATCAATTGCTCCAGGACTGCCCCAAGGATCCCCCCTCTGTCCTGTGCTTTTCAATGTGTACACTGCACAGGTAACGGTGCATCAGAAGGAATCTGGACGTGTCCTGAGCTTTGCGGATGACATAATGGCATACGAGCACGGAGATGACAGACTTCAGATGGCAATGAGCGTGGAGAAAAGACTTCACTCAGTTATAAAAATGATGTGACCAAAATGAAGTAGTTATCAATCCTTCAAAGGCACAGGTACTTTGGTGTTCCCCCGACAACAGGATTGTCCAAGACATAACTCCACCAATCACTTGCAACTATGAGATTATCGACAGACAGTGAGAGCTGAAGTATCTGGGAATCGTCTTCGACAAGTCGTTGTCCTTCAACAAGCATGTGAATCATGTGGTTACAAAGGTCAAACGAGGTGTTGGTACAATCAAGACCATCAGCCGCTCTGATTCCACAAAGAGTGCTCTTCCAGATGTTGCAGCTGGTCGTCCTGTCATTGATTACGGATTGGGCTGTCTCACGCTGTCCGACACACTGATCGCAAAGCTGGATTGCGTGCAAATGAGGCAATGAGAGCAGTGTTGGGCTGCACCAAGGACACTGCAATATTGTGCATGCGTTACTTGCTAGGTTTAAGTGGCAACAGAGTACGCCATAGGATAGCTCAAGCAAATATGTATCTCAGTGTAATGGACAAGAAGGATCATCCACTTCACAAAGCACTACATGACAACTAGAGAGGCAGAATCAAAAGAGGAAAATCTTGGATGGCGGAAGCAGAGTATTCCCTGAGAAAAATCTGTGTACCTGAGAGCCTACTACCAGGCGAAGAATGGAAACAGGTGGCAGGAAATACAGGGACCTCACCAAGGTAAAAATAAGCATGGGCAGAAACAGAAGAAATGTTACGGCTTCCTTCAACGAGAGCGATATTAACGAGATCGTTGACACAAACTCAAAAGCAGGTGATCCTGTAATTTTTACAGATGGTTCAGTGAAAAGAGATAGCCAGCGAAGTGGATGGGGATTTGTTACTTTGGCCAAAAATAAAATCATACACAGTGCCTCTGGAGCCTGCAGCAGGGCTACATCAAGTATGCGAATGGAAATTGAAGCCATCACGAAAGCACTTGATTGGATGACCCAAAATCGCCACCACACAACCAATGCTGTTCTTATCACTGATTCCACGTGTACCCTCAGAAGGATCGAAAAAGGTTTCATGAGAACAGAATGGATTCAAACTAGCGAAGCAACGCCTATACGATCGCTCACATGGATTTTCTGCCCTGGCCATGCATGTGTTAGTGTTTGGGGAAGTGAAAAAGCCGACAGACTGGCTTGTGAGGCCACCTCAGTTGACAACAAGGTTCAACCAGATAGGATCGAGAACCTGAAATGTCTCTCTCGCCAGCTGATTGAGGAGGAAGATAGGAAGGCAGAAGCCAGTACTCTGCTGTGGAGAGGGTGATGCTTTTGGGAATACAAAAAGGAAACGGAAAATCTGGCGTCCATGCCGGAAAGAACAGAAGAACGTTCAACCAGATATGCAGTGGCACAATCAGTCAATCAGTGGAAAGACCCTCGGCGACATTAATTTCGGAGAGAGCAACGGAGCCTCAATGGACACGTCCGGAGTGCAGGGATGTTGCTTCATGAAACAATTAACAATGAACTCCTTTCCTTTCCTTATGTTGCTTCAGTCGGTTTTACTTCTCCCCAATTTTGTAACTGTCAGTGTGTTGATTTGCTTCTCTTTCCTCAAACTAACTGATGCCACTGTGGTCATTTTGTTGATAAGCAAGCCTTTGATTGCTAGATGTGAGGCCCTATAGATTTCTAACTGGTTAACGAGTTACAAAGAGGCCCATTGAAAGGGCCCAGAACGAATATTTTTATTCCATCTCATTTTTTCAAGTATTTATACATGGTTTGTTGGCTAATTAAGCCAATTATGTGAATTTATTACAGTGCAATATACTTCCTTGTTCATCGTAAGGGGAATGTGTGTGGGGGGGTGCCGATTTCAGAAAGCGGTACCACGAGAATTATAGGCAAATTACAATTTAAAAATCACAGGTCCTCAGTGCATACAGGTTATTATTCATTTTTTTAAAACCACAAATAGAACGAGGATAAAACAGCATCACGACATAGATGGCTGGTGCCTCAAAAATAAATTAGTAATGGTTTTAATTCTGGTTGCGCAGTACACCCAAAGATTCTCTACTACACGATCTTTGGTATACTGACACTGACACAGAATATTTCGGGATGACGGTTGTGGTCCTGGGGGGGG